GCCTACAGTATTTTTACAGTCTTTATTTTACAGTTAACATAAATGTTTATCAAATAAAGTTTAATGTTACATCTAATCGTTGATCCCTTTAAAGGGCTCTCAGACTATGTTCACATGTTGGCCTTAACATGTTTAATTATAAAGTTGTTGTTGGCGACACATGAAAACATCTAATTACTTAAAAAATTGCAATGCATTTTAGGGATGATGATGATGATGATGATGATGATGATGATGATGATGATGATGATGATGATGATGATGGTTACAGATGAGACTAAAACACAAAGAGTCTAGGCTAAAAAGCTATGTGTGACAACAAAATTTACAGTTGGAAAGACGTGTTGAAGCGATCAAACATGCTGTTTAGTAAACTAACTCTGGAGCTAACACCACATGTATTATTAATAACTATGCGCGTTACAATTATATAATTAATAACTATAATATAAGACTAACTTGTGAGCTAACGCCATATATCCCCATATATGTTAGCTCAGGAGCTAACACTAAAGCTAACAGGCTAAGTTGAGGTTCTTCTTCCATGAAGCAGCTCTGTTGTCCTCCATCAGTTTCAGTTTCAGGCTGAGTCATTTCTACCTTCTCCTCTCTGTCAACGCTCTCTGGTTTCATTTAAAAAGTCTGAATGTCAGATAATGTCTAAGCTGGATAGAGCTCACGCCAGAGTACTCTGTAAGCATCATTTACCCAGAATGCTTTGCAGCGTAAATAATATGGAAATGTCCATGAGTCAACATATATGTTTAAAATTGATAAAAACTAAACAGCCTACAGTATTTTTAAAATCTTGTTTTAGTAGTAAATGTTTATGAAATAATGTTACAACTAGTTGAATTTCCAGACAAAATGATGATCATTCTCTATAAATTCCCTCTGTTTGTAGTTTGAAAGCATCATGGAGAAGGTTCAAAAGAAAAAAGTTTCCTGTTTCAAGAAAACCATGGAGGTAAGAACAGGGGGGAGGAGGGGATTAGTTCAGTTAAACAAAATCATGTTTTCAGATCATAAAAAAATACGTTTGTGAGGTGACGTGTTGTTCAGACCACAAATTCATAAAAACACAAAGGATAAGGGCTTTCACTGTTCGAAATGTTTGTTAGACCAAAAGCCAAGTTTTTACTGGTTTTCTCCGCAACGTGTGGCCTGAACTTTCTGTTTCTCTTTCTGCCAGTCGAAGAAGAACTACGAGGTGAGATGCAAGGAGGCTGACGAGGTGGAACTGGGGGCTGAGAAAACAAACGTCCCCCCAAAGAACCATGAAAAGGTTTGAATCAGATCACTGAAACAGAATAATCCAGCTGCAGTTTTTAGTTACTGCTTTAACCAATAAGGAAGGTACTCAGGTGCGCTTCAGGTCAGACTGGTAGCAGAGATCACACAGAATAACTTTAATGCAACTACTTTCCTGTTTTAATAAATCAGCTTCAAAATATGCCATTTATATAAAGATGCACCACACATTATAAATCAGCAGAAGTTTGTTTCTGTTCTGCTTTCAGTGGAAAGTTGTTGTACAACATTGTAATGTGCAAAACTGAAGTATTTGCAAATGTTAACCGGTCTGGCCTCCTTGGTTTTTTTTCATTTTTCCTTTTTTTTTTTTTTTTTTTGGCATTCAAAGTGCATTGAATGGTTCAGCTAATAGGTTGTTCTATTTTTGGCTCATGTTAAAAAACCTTGATCACATAACAAACTTAAAATGCTTCCTGTTCCTGTTTGGTTTACAGATTCGTCTCAGGATCAAACAGTGCAGACAAGCAGTCAGTGAAGCAGGTACGCACCAAACAACGCATTGCATCACTTTGTCACGAACGTTTCAAGCGTTTGTCACAGTTGAATGCAGACCGCACACAGAATGGCTTGACAATTTACTTTCTGTGAGACAGAAACATCCTTGTTATTTTGATATTTCTGTCAATTTTCTGTTTCCATTTTTGTTTTTCAAGTAATGCCTACATTTTGTCTTTTGGACATTATTTGCTTCGATTCCCAGTTCAGTCCAGTCCAGCTGGCTCGAACTTTTCCACATTTTGACAGTGTCTCTTTAAAAAGGAAGGAAGCTGAATGAGTAGATGGCAAAAGAAGAAGTGGCTTAAATGACAGATAATCAGTAAGTGACAACCATGTCCTTAAAAAGAGGGCAACATTCCTGAGAGAGCCATCACGGGACCCCAGAGATGCATCACTCTTCAGCTGATCATCTATTACTCATACAGATAGTTTTTAAATCTCCTTGTTGGCTCTAGTTTTGTTACTCTCAACCTGCGTTATCTTTGGCAATTTTTGTCGATTTAATGAAACATACAAGAAAAAAACTGTGACTATGCAACATGCTGCTGGTAAAAATACATCTAAGGACACTAGATTATATATTTTTTTTGTTAAGCTGTCTTTTATATGCAGACATACCATTGAGTTAGGTTCCTTTTTTATGCCTTTGCATTTCATTGTTGTCACAGCTGGTTGGAGGTTTCAACCTAGAATGCAGACTCAACACAAGGAGCTTCAGTAAGAATAATACATAACTTTATTTTAACAAAGGAAAAAAAAGCTGACGAAGCAGCCATGATCTTATAATACTGGAGGAATTGTGAGAACACACACAGGAGAACATAAAGAGAGTGACCCAACTGTGATATACAAACCACTAACGCACCAATGAATTCCAGACTGAACACAGAGGAGGTATAAGCTGAGGCTGACAGGAGATGAGGAACAGCTGGTGCAGGTGTGAGTGGGCGGGGCATAATTGAGGGCAGGAGCTGAACTGAGGAAAGGGTCTAAGTTAGGTAAATGGGCTGACGTAGGCATAGGCAGCATAGGCAAATGCTAAGGGCGCCGTCCATCTAAGGGCAAGTCACAAATGGGGGAAGAATAAACATATTTTTAAACTTTTCATGAGATGGATTTGTCTGTAGAATAATCACTGGTTACTCAGATTTATGAAAGTAACTTGTTCTGTAGGTTTCGCAGAATGCTTTGTTATAATGTGTTATATGGGACAGAGGATATTTTGTGATAAAAGTATCAAGATGCAGTCAAGACTAACTACTGGTCCTCAGTCTGTAAACAGAAAACAAAATAAGGATAATGGAAGTCTCAGTTGTGATCTCAGATGAAGTCCATGTAAAAGTCAGGTTTTCAGTGTTCTACCTTCATAAAATATTGATTTCTTCTTGTTTTATTAAACTCAAGAATTTATTACAATGCTCTTCAAATGGCTGGAAAATGTATAGTTTGAGTATAGGTCTTTTATAAAACTTTCCAGGGAGTATGCTCCTGGACCCCACTTGTACTGCTTCACTCCACAGCTGCTTGTTAGCATGAACAGGTGTTCCTCATTACTGTCAGCAAATGTTGGCAGGTATGAGACTTTTGGTTTTCTGTTTCAAATTAATTAAATTATTAAGTATTTTTTGGACAACCTGGTCTCTAAATATAAAATCAATACTATTAAAGACAAAACTAATTCATTTTGAATTGAAATGTACTTTATTTGTCATCAGTGCATGTTTGCACTCTGCATTTGACGCATCACACTTGAGAGACAGCCAAGTGGAGCAGTGAGTGGATATTTATAAGCAGTTGGGAGTTGAGTGTCTTGATGAAGGACACGACATGTAGGCATGGTGGGGAGTTGAACCTGTGACTTTATGGTCCCAAGTCAGCTGCCCTACCATTGGTCCACAGTTACCCCAGAAGTTAGATTTAGAAAAAAGCACAAGGGGCGCCAAACTGGTGTAGGAGGGAGAGCTTAGGGTGAATTAAGCTTTTCCTACATCTCTCATACATACATTCATCCTTAATAAATGTCATACAGACAAAATGCATGCAAACAAATAACAAACTGGCATCCACCGCGCAGAATATGGATTTAAAAATATAACTGTCAGCTATAATGAGAGAGAAGAAGCGACTTTAGTATGACGTCATAACCTTGAAAAGCCGTGAAGAGCTTATTTTAAGCAATAAATAATGTCACAGATGTATTCATGACTTCAAAAATGACAGAAAAACACCAAAATCTGCAGCTTTTGCTATTCTCTGAGCACCAATGAGCCATAAAGAGTTTTATAACACTACTTGTCTATTGCCAACATGAGGAAAACAGTGTTTTTCTCACGATGCACAGAAGATATATTTTCATGAGAAAAATATACGGATTACCATTAAAAATGGAACCGTTCGGACCAGCAATATTTTATGAAATATTGTGTGTGTGGAGCCGTACGAGCCACCAGTATGTATGCAATACTGTGTGTGAAACCGTATGGGCCACCAATATTGTATAAAATATTGTGTGTGAAACCGTATGGGCCACTAATATTGTATAAAATATTGTGTGTGAAACCGTACGGGCCACCAGTATGTAGGAAGGAGAGCTTAGGGTGAATTAAGCTTTTCCTACATCTCTCATACATAAAGTATGAGGAAAGTTTTACCAAGGTATTTTCTCATTACTTTTGATATCTTGACTGTGCAAAGTGAAAAGTGACACAATAAGTGAACGTTCAGACGAGTTCAAGTTGATTCATAAAAGACTATGCAATCATTTATTTACACAAATTGAACAAATCATAAGTACACTTGATTGTGGTTATTCCTATAACTAGCATCAAAGTTAAATGAGATAAAAACTCGCGTCCAAATTCTAATTCACATCAACTCAGATTACTTATATAGAACAGTAAAACGATCAGCTCTGATGTTACAACCAAACAATTTTACTGGCACTTTCAGCTTAAGTTTTGGCAAATAAAGAAAAGAACAGGAGGAAGATAAGATTAGTGTTACTACTACTCTTATTTTGTCAGGTGTGTGGTCCAACCGGATCAGCACATCCCTTCTGCACTCAGTTTCCACATGACACGTCACCCGGAACACGTCARTTTTACCTGGTGATGGCTTCTTAAGCAACCCCCTGGGCAGCAACTGTCTCACGTCCGATCAGTCAGGGAACTTTTTAATTGGCTCGCTCACTGTTCCTTGGTGAAAAGGTGTTATTCAGGTAACTTTTCGTCTGTTTCAGTCCGAGCCAGAAAGATTCAAGCTGATGCATCCGGTTCCTCCTTTCAAAATAAAATCTCCCCTCGGGAGTTCAAAAACACACTTGGAGACTTGAAGCCTCGGGGTGGGGCTGGCTGGCGTGCCGAGCCCCGGCTGTTAGGTTCCCCTAATTAGCTCATGGGCAAGACCTAACGAGCCAAACTGGCTTCTCCGGAGAGAAACTCAGCCTTCCTTCCTAGTTGGAGTTCGGAAGAAGAAGTCCGTCACACAAAGGCGTCTGTGGTTAGTCAAAGAAACAGACAAACTTTGGTTCCGCCCTCAGATGTAAGATGAGTCAGAGAAAAGGAAGATAAAGAGATTTGTCAGGGCGCCAGCTCAAGGCTAAAATTCTGTGGTTGCCACAACAGAATATGATAACCTCTTTTCAGCTTTTCTTCTGATAGACTCCAAGAGAAATCACTGCAAAACATTTATGATGATTAATTAACATTTCTGTTTAATAATCAGTTCTGAACCTTCTGTTAGTCCAGATAAATGAAAGATTTTCTCARGAAAAATCCACAATTATATTACTGTGTTCACAGTAAAATAAAAACAGTGATTTACATAAAAACACAATGAAAACATTGTAATTAATTATTAATCTTTTAGGCACGATAAAAGAGTAGAAGTGGTTCCACTTTTCTTGTGACAATCATTATGATTTAACAAATGCATAAACATTCTTAGTTAAACAACAAATGAATCACGAACAGAAGAGATTGTTCTGTCCATTATCTGATTAAGAGAACTGAGAAATTCTCCTCTGGGTTGAAATGACCTGTCATGGCCTAAAATAGAGTTCAGTTTGTGACAGAGTTCCTGTCCTCTCGTTAGGCCTGTTCGAGGCCTGCTTCGAGGCAGTAAATCTTGTTTCTTCACTCGAGGTGACCCCTACACTGGCTAGAACCTGCACTGGCTGGAACAGAGGAACAAAAAATGCAATTGAACCCAATAATAGCACTAAACACTATCAAAACAAAAAACACCTATCCTGACTTGTCTAAGAAATCACTAAAAACATGTTTTTTTAAAATATGTGGTTTTACATTTACCATTTGTTGACAGCATTGGTCTGATTTCTTACAGAAAAGTGGTACTTAAGCAACATTGATCAACTAGAAACTGTTCGGCAAGACTGGGAGGAGACCCACAGAAGCACGTGTGAGGTACAGCAGACACCAAATTCTTGTCAGCGAGCTAATTATAAATCAGTAGGAAAGCATCAAATACCCACAGACTAGACCTCAAACCACAGGCACTAACGAAACAAGTACTGACCAGTAAGGAACTTAAATGCTGCATAGAGCACAAATTCTGTGAAAACATATTAAAACACCACACATTAGTTTGAAAAGGTTTTTTTTTTTTTACATGGCACTGTGAATCTTGTTATACCGGTCATTCTGTCAGGGTGTGTGTTTGCAGAACTCAAACTAAATTACTGGCTATATCCTTTTTTATTTGATCATATATTTCAACATTTTAATGTTTTCCAGGTGCTCCAGCAGATGGAGGGAGATCGTATCAGCATGCTTCGATGTGCTCTCTGGGACCACTGCAATCACTTCTCCATTCAGTGTGTCAAAGATGATGAGGTGATTTTTTTCCTCTTCTTTTGATTAATCAAAATACTTTACAAAAAACTATCTTCTTAAAATTTTATCACAACTTTTTACCATTTTTAACAGCTAATAACGGAGCTCAGTTTTCATTTAGCGGATTAGTGTTTTTGCTAACTCTGGAAACCATTAGCAGACCTATTAGCTTGAACTAAATTTAGTTCTGCTAACTTTAAGTTAGATAACAAAAACAAATATCCCCCCTCAGTGCTGCACGCCTGCATCATGCACCTTGTGTGTAGCATCTTTAACATTTTTGATGCACTGCTTGTGGTTTTAGCTGTGTTTGGTGGATGTAGAAATGTTTTTGACATTTTATCCAAGATTCTGATGTTTCTGTGGATACCACACACGAAGGACCTCAAGTTAACAGGAATCAGTTAGCATTAGCTTCCATTAAGTTTTGTTAAAGGTTTTGCAATTTAGCATTTGCCGAGCTAATTTTTTACATAGCGAGTTGGCGGTTAGCGACAATGTGGTATATCAGGGCTATTCAACTGGCGGCCCGCGAGTGACCAAAGTTCGGCCTGCCAATTGGTTCTTTCATCTCTTAAGCCCAAACCCTAAAGTTTTCTACTTTAATTAGTTCTTTTAGTTCAACATGGACATGTTTGGTATCTATAGAAACATCAGGATCTTGGCTAGAAGCTGGTAAAACCATTTCTATGAACATTCAAGACAGCTAAAACTACAAGCATTTGAAGATAAAACTATGAAAGTGAAAATATAATTGATTTAAAAATTTGACAAGTCAGAGATGTTAAAATATTATTTGTCAAATATGAAGCATAATGTGATCATTTTGTTTCTGATATTGTTTAATTATCACTACTTTTATAGGGTTCTGTATGTAGTATCCATGATTAAATACAGTAAAATAAACTGTTTCAAAGGTAACAGATCTTTGTAATACTTGGTTTATTTTTTTTCTTCAAGCCACTTTAGTAGAAAACAGAACTTAATATTAGTTTCTTCATCATCAATGACTTTTTTTATACTTAGTTTATTTACATAATAAGTTTAATTCCAGGATGTTCGGTCCCTCAGCTGTTGACCCGCAGTAACTGTGGCCCCCAGAGCAACTTAGTTGAATAGCCCTGTGGTGTCACACCCATCTCAGAAGATTGGCTGCTGTGGCATGAGCACGACGCCATATTGGAAGGGGCGGGCTGTCAAAAAGCAAGCAATTTATTATGGCTAGATTTCCACAGAGTTGAATAAATATTAGTTTTTCATTGATTAGATATTGCCTACTTGAAACATCCTTTAATGCAGTCAATATAGCTACCTCATTGGTTAGCGAAGCAAACTTTTTGGTTAGCTGTGGCCACCACTGAATTTTATTAAACAAGGCAAATTGATATGGATACTATCAGGAAATTTTAAAAAATATTACTACTTTTCTGTATCATTATATTGACAAGTATTTACCATATTTATTCAAGTTTAATACGCAAAATTTAATCCATAAAATCATCCATAAAGTTGGGGGGTAGTATTATACTCGGATAAATATTTTTACTTATGTATTTTAACTGAAATATCGGCAAAATGCCTGAGTCCGGAAATGAGACCATGTTGTAAAAAAGCAGTTGAAACGAGCTCACCAGTGACACTCCTCGGTGCTTCAGAGCGAGATAGTAACAGATCCAGGCAGGCGACATGATGTTAAACAAAAGGGGAAAATAGAAGTCCTGCACCTTAGTAATGATAGCAAACTAATGACATTAGCGTGTGACCGGGCCGCTGCTGGAACAACAACAAACACATGTTCGTCTGTAATGGCTGCCGTCTACCGGTGTTCTGAAAAGTTTTGTATCCCTAAAAAACGTTTCCCACCAGAGGGGGCGCTCGCGAGTAGGAAGTAATCTGCTTTCCCCCCTAGAAGATGGCCCAAATCTCATGTGAAGTCTTTGACTTTTGTGTTGGCGCCTCCTGGTGGGCTATGTGTAAAATGCCAGAATTCATATGATGCTGCTACAGCTGATTTGTGACCCATCACATCGAAACGAGGATTAAGTCCAAAAGTTGTATAAGGAGAAAAAGGCGAATATAGTGTTTTGACTAAAATGTTAACAAAAATTGCATTTTGTCAAAATATAATGAATAAAAGCCTTATCAATGTATCATTTGAATGAACTGCCTGAAATTTAATCATAAAACAAAATTTTGAAGCACTTTTTTGAACAGTAGCAACAAAAAAACTGATTTTGAGGAAAAACTACTTAAAATTTTGAGATTTTCCCTGTGAGCTAGCAAAGCTGTGTTCATTTTTAGCTGGGAAATCTCAATATTCAAATATAGTTTGAGGTTTCCTCTTTATAAGGACATAAAAAATTCCTCATTAAAATGACATAAAATTAGGATTCAGACCAAATATTTATGTATTATTGTAACCAACAAGACAAATTAAGTCATATAAATGGATTTAATTATGATAACAGAATGATCCAGGTTTCAAAATGTAGCTTTTAAAGCCAAGAATCTGAAAATGTAATTTGGTCATTTTGACCAAATTTAACTTAATCCTCATTTCAATATGATGGGTCACATATATATTTGTTGTCAAAATACCTTTTAGTACATATGTTGTTAAAATAAAATGAACAGTCCAATGACCATTTTACTGATATGTATAAAGACTACAAAGGCTGAAAATATTGAAGTCTGTATGAAATTGGAGGTAGTAAAAATGAAGCGTTCCTTCACAGATCACTGTATGCTCTTTTTGAGGTTTTTACAACTGTCACGTTTAGTGGATTGTTTTTAAAGGTGGACCCAGAGTATGAAGCCATTTATGTTTCATACTGTTACACATCACAAGTTCACTGTTACAAATTTCAAATCATTTTACAAGTTACAAGTTCTGTTATACAAAACACAAATACTTACGATACATAAACGGCTTCATTCCAGAGTTCAGACAGAGGTCGAGGAGTTCAAACAAAACTTGAAATTTATTCACAAAATTGCAAAATAAAAGCTGACATGGTAGCAATCTACAAACCAAACCGAAAACTTACTTTGATACCAAAAGCATAACAGGAGACACAAGACAGGTCAATGCCCAACTAACATGAAGGAAGTTGGGCATTAACCAAAATACAAAGATCTGCACACAGAGAGGAGCATGTGGTTGTGGCAGAATTACAACTAAGCAGAAGGCAGAAACTGAACAGGCTAATCAGAAAAACATCAGACACAAACAAATACAGAATAAATAGCTCAACAAAAAGCATAGGTCCTAACAACATCCTCATGGAACAACATGGGACATTGTTTATTTTATATTTGTTTACCAGAAGGTATGCACATTTACACATTTAGTGACTGAAAAACAAAGTAGACTTTATTCAGATAGTTTTAGAACAACTTTTAGCAACAATCAGTTGAAGTTGTTTTCTTTTGCAACACTTTCAGTCTGTCAGATTGTTGTGGTGTATTTTTGGCTCGCTTTTTTATTGTGGTTTCAGTTCATGAAGGGTTGTTGACATTTGTTTCAGAAAGCCACATTTGTTCTCACAGATTTGCTGATTAGTGTATTAAATGCATTCATTAGCAGTATCTGATTGCTAATCATCCTGTTAATTACTAAGGAAGCAGAAGGGGGTGAAAACCTTTGAACACACTGGTTTGGTCGTTAATAACGTAATAACAACATGGTACATGTAATGTGTGGTGTTGATCTCAAGTTGTATTTATCAAATGTATCATGTATGAAACATGTTATCAGATTAAGGTTCTTGTGTGTTCTGAGCAGAACTGAAACAGACTTACTTTATTTTTTGTGACAACAGACAGCTGTACAGAAACACTGTTCACACTGTCTTACCATTTGTCATACATTTGAAATAAGAGACAATTCAACTGTTCGTATAAATGAGGCAATTGTTGCAACTCTAATCCCATTTTCTTTAAAATCAGCTCTACGAGGAGGTCAGGAAGGTGCTGGAGACATGTGACATCACCACAGACAACAACTACTTTATACAAACTAAAGGCACAGGATCAAAACCACCAGGTGAGCTTTCAAAAAAAAAGTCAGTAAAGCAGCATAAAAAAATGAGGTTTAAATTTACTGTTGAGCGTCTTCACCTTTCTCTTCCAGTTGATGAAAAGCAACACTTCTCAAATTAGCAGCTTCTCTTTATTTCTCAGATCCTGTTGTGTTTGAAAGCTACTACCATCCTGAGAGGGTGAGGAACGCCAACGGTCAGGCTCACTTTGCACCGCAGGAAGATGAATCGAGATGGGACAGCTCCATGAATGTGTAACTTGTTGTAATTCCACTTAACATAAAGTGAAAATATGGCCTCCTTCTGGGTCATCTAAGACAAGGTTGCCAAACGGGAATTGACATTTACATTTTGACCCAAACCAGACCAACAGGTGGTGAAGGGTTGAGGGGGTAAGATGTGTTGTTGTGGTTGGCAAATGTGAGCACATGGGGGGTGGGGGGGTGCACCTTGTAAGCAAAGTATCTGGCTGGTCTGATCAGACGATTGCATTTGAGCTTTTAAGTGAATAAAAATGACTTTGGGCTTTTTTAAATGAACAGGAAGGCCAAACTTATAGCATATTTGGGCTTTTTGAATCATACAGACCCTAAAACTCTATAGAATACAATAATTATCATACATCTGGCAACAATGGTTGTTTTAATGTTACCAAAAATAAGCATATGCAGAAATTACTTGGAGCAGCTTGCTGAAATAGTCTAGGTGTCCTAATCTTCTTTTTCTCTTTTTTTAATCTGACTCAAACACGTTCACTGACATGCTGCTCAGAAGTTCTGGGAACATCAGCAGTGAAAGTCCTGAAATCTCACAGTCAGCTCTGATCTCTGCTGGAACCGGTAAGAACAGCAATACCAAACTTTGTTTTTTAACCGAAAGTAAAAATGAAAAATGTCTGACAATAACGCTGACAGTCAGAAAAAGGAAAGGAGCAGCAGGTTGTTGGTATGTTCTCTATGAAACGTGGCTCTGTGTACAGTTTCTGTTTATGAGCTTGTATATAATAATTTTATAGCAGAATATTTTAGAAATTGCAGTTAAAATAAAAAATGTATTTTTTATAGCACAAAATGATTCAGTGTCATCAGAATGCTTTTATTTTACATTATCATTTCCTATGTACAGTATATTGAAGCAGAGAGTATGTACGGTGGTGGGCATGGTTGCTACAGATCAGCTAACAGTGGAACAAAATCGTCGTTAGGTGGATTAGCTTTTTTCGCTAACTTTGAAAACCATTAGCAGATCAGTTAGCTACTGCTAAATTAGGTTTTGCCAACTTTAAGTCTGCTAACAGCTAACTAACAAACTAACATCAACAGGTTTGTGTCAGTTCCACCAGTCTTCAGCTAGCAGGAGACAAAGACGTGAGCAGACTGAGGACCTTAGCGGTTAGCGATTGGCTGTTAGCGTTAGCTCCCACCAGTTTTTATTGTCAGGCATTAGCGAAGCTGTATTTTCTGTTAACAGATTATGAGTTACCAAAGCTACCTTTGTGGTTAACTGTGCTCACCACTGAGTATGTGTAATGACTTCTGAGGTAAAAGTCATATTTTCTATTTATAATTTCCTGCTTTGCCTCTTGTCTTTAGGTGAGACGTCAGATGGCGGGTACGCAGCCCTGCCAGACCTCCAACAAGACGTTTTAGCCACAGCTTCAGCTGAAGAACAGTTCTTCGTTGTTCATTATGAATACAATGCACAGGTGATGGTCAAACTAATGCCACATGAGAAATATAAAACTGAGTGACAACATACACTCACCGGCCACTTTATTAGGTACACCACGCTAGTAACGGTTTTGTGGTCATAAAGGGATGGACATGGCCAGCAACAATACTCAGGTAGGCTGTGGCGTTGCAACGGTGCTCAATTGGTACCAAGGGGCCCAAAGAGTGCCAAGAAAAGATTCCCCACACCATGACACCACCACCACCAGCCTGAACCGTTGATACAAGGCAGGATCCATGATCCATGCTTTCATGTTGTTGACTCCAAATTCTGACCCTACCATCCGAAAGTCGCAGCAGAAATCGAAAATCTTCTCTTGTCCAATTTCGATGA